GAATCAATGGGAAGGAGCCATTTGATCGATACGGCTTTGATGATCAAGGCCAGCAGCACAAGAGCTTGTTTGCTTTCATGTCTGTGTTTACAAATGGCCTTCAATAACTCATGTGAAATCCAGTTTGCTAATGCTAACAGCATGTTGTTTGACACGATGCGTCATGGCGGTTGCATGGCTGGAAGTAGCTGCATTTCTTGGCCAAACTTCTGACTGCTGTGCCTTTCATACGAGCGTCTTTTCATCTGTGCACATGTGTGAGAAACTTTCAGACTGCGTTTCATACAGAATTGGATATATTTGCCACGTGTGGCCACATTTATGTGCAAAGTCCATTTTCTCCTTTCTTCATAATGGGCGCTCCCCATTAAACACCTGTAATCAAACCCAGGGATTAAAGCCACAAAAAATAAATCGTCTGGCTGATAACTTTTTTTTTTTCAGTCTATGCCATATACTACTTAATTTAATTACTCAAGACTAACAGCATTTGCTATGGTCAGCTTGCATATTGTTCGATATGTTTTCAATCTGTGAAATAAACTGATACTTTTTGCAATGCTTGAAACATTTGTGGCCTTGGAGCACAAAACCAGTCATTAGGGTCAATTTTTTTTAAATTGAGATTTATACACCATCTAAAAGCTGAATAAATAATCTTTCCATTGATGTATGGTTTGTTAGGATCGGACAATATTTGGCTGAGATACAACTATTTGAAAATCTGGAATCTGAGGGTGCAAAAAAATCTAAATATTGAGAAAATCATCTTTAAAGTTGTTCAAATGAAGTTCTTAGCAATGCATATTACTAATCAAACATTAAGTTTTGATATATTTACGGTAGGAGATTTACAAAATATCTTCATGGAACATGATCTTTACTTAATATCCTAATGATTTTTGGCATAAAAGAGAAATGTATAATTGTGACCCATACAATGTATTGTTGGCTATTGCTACAAATATCCCCCAGCGACTTAACACTGCTTCTGTGCTGCAGGGACACATATGTTGTTGTTGAATGACTGGTCTGATGAATCTTTGAATCAATGTCTGACTCACTTAATGAGCTTGAGTAATGTTTATGTGCTATTATAGTCTTTATTTAATATTTAGAATTTTGCTTTTTCAGTTTAAGTTTTAGTCATGTGCTTTTGTCCTTTTTGTTAGTTTTTTTGTTGTTGTGTTAAATATTTCTATATAGCTTTCATTTAAATTTTTTATTTAGTTGTAGCTTTAGTAATTATAGGACTTAAGCTTATTTTAGTTAGTTGTCAGAGCAGTATTTCTTAGTTTCATTTAAGTTTTAAGTGTTTTATGTAGCATTTATTGTAACTGGTTTATTTCAGCTTTATTTAGGAAAATCTATGCATTTTTTAAATTAAATAAATGTATTTATTTATTTTTCAAATTTGACTTGTTTAACAATAACAACACTTTAATTTATATCTCCAAATAAAATATAATATATCTATTCATGACATTATAGATAGTATATTAATTTACTGAACTGTGGGGACACATGAGGATATTGTTTTATTTGGCTGACAATAAAGTGTAATCTATTGTAATTAGGGGTGTGCTATGTATATATCGTCTGTGATAATATCGTAATTGTTGTTTTAGCGATGTGCAAATTGAAATTGAGTATTTTGCAAAAAACGTTCAAAACACGCATTCATTACGTGAAGTCTAGACTAGAGCGAGTGTGTTCTTTCACTGCGTGATTCAGTCTAATAAAATACATTCAGAACGATCACAACATTCAAGACATGGGGACAGAAAACGTTTATATTTATATCATTTCATATAGTTATTCAATATCACACAAAGAGTGTAGTTTTTTCTCTCCAAACTTTACCATGATTACAAATGTGATATTGATTTCAACAGTTCAATAAACAAGAAGTTAATTAAGAGACTTACATTTTAGACACCATATTGCCTGTTTTGCACTATTTCGCCAATAAAAATAATTCCAAACACAGCCACAGCGCTGTTCTGCGTCTCTGAGCAACATGACGGTGTTTCGTTCCTGAATGAATCACTCGTTTAAATGATTCGCTTCAATCGCAGTGACTCGCTTATTAACAGTGGCTTGCTGCCACCTGCTGGCGGTTTTAAATTCACATTTAAGGTACCTTTTCATTCTTTAAATTATTTCAAACATCAGTTTTCAATGTTTTATGTTTGAAATATCAAAACATTATTTAGCTATGCATTTGTAACTGCAGGTTAAAGTATTTAATGTCCCTCAGAGCTGCATTAAACGGTGTGTAAATGCATTTAAATGACACTTCTAATGCAGCTTCTGTGTTTCCTCTGCATTGCAAAGATGGATTTAGTTGATACTGATTTAATTTGCTTGGTAACAATTATTAATACGTGTGTGTGTGTATATATATATATATATGTGTTTGTTTGTATATATAAGTGTGTGTATAAATATATGCAGGTGTGTGTATAATATATATATATATGTACACACACACACTCACTGGCCACTTTATTTGGTACACCTTGCTAGTACCGGGTTGGACCCCCTTTTGCCTTCAGAACTGCCTTAATTCTTCGTGGCATAGATTCAACAAGGTGTTGGAAACATTCCTCAGAGATTGTGGTCCATATTGACATGCTAGCATCACGCAGTTGCTGCAGATTTGTCGGCTGCACATCCATGTTGCGAATCTCCCGTTCCACCACATCCCAAAGCTGCTCCAGTGGATTGAGATCTGGTGACTGTGGAGGCCATCTGAGTAAAGAGAACTCCTTGTCATGTTCAAGAAACCAGTCGGAGATGATTTGAGCTTTGTGACGTGGTGCATTATCCTGCTGGAAGTAGCCATCAGAAGATGGGTACACTGTAGTCATAAAGGGATGGACATGGTCAGCAACAATACTCAGGTAGGCTGTGGCGTTTAAACGATGCTCAATTGGTACTAAGGGGCCCAAAGTGTGCCAAGAAAATACCCCCCACACCATCACACCACCACCAGCAGCATGAACCGTAGAGACAAGGCAGGATGGATCCATGCTTTCATGTTCTTTACGCCAAATTCTGACCCTACCATCTGAATGGCGCAGCAGAAATCGAGACTCATCAGACCAAGCAACGTTTTTCCAATCTTCTATTGTCCAATTTTGGTGAGCCTGTGTGAATTGTAGCCTCCGTCTCCTGTTCTTAGCTGACAGGAGCGGCACCCGGTGTGCTCTTCTGCTGCTGTAGCCCATCTGCTTCAGGTTTCGACACGTGTTGTGCGTTCAGAGATGGTGGTATTCTGCATACGTTGGTTGTAACGAGTGGTTATTTGAATTACTTTCTATCATCTCTAACCAGTCTGCCCATTCTCCGCTGACCTCTGACATCAACAAGGCATTGTTGTCCACACAACTGCCGCTCACTGGATATTTTCTCTTTTTCGGACCATTCTCTGTAAACCCTAGAGATGGTTGTGCGTGAAAACCCCAGTAGATCAGCAGTTTTTGAAATACTCAGACCAGCCCGTCTGGCACCAACAACCATTCCACGTTCAAAGTC